GGGGTGTAGGACTTCTATCTGAGGAGGAAGAAATCGTTCGTCGGGAGGAGAAAGAAATGGGTTTCGGGCCAATTCGACTGAATCAAAACTCCATTTCAGCTAACTAGTGACCCCATTTTTATTTAAAATAGTTGCAACATGTTTTTTTTACACATTATAGACGCAAACGCTCATATATACGTGCATACACTCATCCTTGAACGCACACACACACATCCTACCCCTATGAGCACATATGAGAGACTAACTGAGCCGGCATATCATGTTGAGATTTTACGAAGTCAACGTAGACGTCTCGTAGTTGACGGAAACGTCTCCTCCCACCGAGCGAAACACACATCGTCGAAATTCATGAAATAAATACAGGACAAATGCGAGCGTCAGAACTTGAATCCTGATAGACTGAGATACATTGTTCACCTAACCATCTCACATGTTAGTTCGTATGTCTTTTCTTTTTTCTTGATTGATGAACAAAAACGCTTTGCAACGTGTTTGTTAAACATGGACACATGGCTCTAAATCTGAAGTCCTCTCATTTCACCCAAATAACGCCCTCCTCCCCAGATCTCAGAGAAGCGAAGGCGACCCACTTCTCAATCTCCACAGCCGGTTCGTGATCGTCTCCTCTCCCACGCCGGCCGGCCGGCGGCGCCCTCCGTCCTCCTGATTTCAGTTAAACCGCTGACCTGACCTCTTCCCGTCAGCAGGTGTGTGCAAGTGCAACCCACACCAAACATATAAAACGTGCTCAAAGGGCGAGCCTCCGCCCAAAATACGCGGCCTTTTCCTTCCTCCTTCCTCCTCCAGCTCGGTCGGTCGACTCCTCCCTCCGAGTCTCCACCTCCGACCTCCTCCGCTCCTCTCCTCTCCAAGCAGCTCCCCCAGCCCCGGCCCGCGGGCCGAGGATGTGCGGGATCTTCGCCTACCTCAACTACAATGTCTCGCGGGAGCGCCGCTACGTCCTCGAGGTGCTCCTCAACGGCCTCCGCCGGCTCGAGTACCGCGGCTACGACTCCTCCGGGATAGCGGTCGACGCGGACCTCCCGGCGCCCCCTGCTCCCGGCTCCGCGCCGGCTCCCTACGCCGGGGCGCCCCCGCTCGTGTACCGGCAGGAGGGCAAGATCGAGAACCTCGTGCGATCCGTCTACGCCGGTGAGCGCCTGCTTTTCCGCCTCTGGTTGTGCTCCAGCCCGGTCCGCCTTCTAGGCGCTCCTTTCGGTCAAAGGAGGCATGGTTTTTACGTTTTAGGCGGCCAAAGCTTCGGCAATTTGGATTCTGCTCCACTCAGTTTTGGATTTGATGATGATCTTCGGGAGGGGAATTCTGCGGTCAGCACCTTCGCATTTTGACTCGGGATCTCATAGGCCTCAACATTCTGGATCTCTCCAGATAACACACAATTCGTCCCGTTAGGATCAAAGTCAAAATTTGCCTTTTGAGATTTATTATTATGCCATCTGACAGTTATTGATGCAATTTGGCGCATGCTTTGGGCCAATTTTACTGCATGCAAGTCCCACTTCCAAATTCTGCCACTTATCCTGATGCACGGTAGGTTGGCTACCCAAATTTCAAGCACAGAATCTAACGACTTGCTCAACTTCTGTTTTGCTCTTCAGAGGTTGATGAGAAGGATGTGAACTTGGATGCCGCATTCAATGTGCATGCTGGAATTGCTCACACCAGGTGGGCCACACACGGCGTACCAGCCCCGAGGAACAGCCACCCGCAATCTTCCGGCGCCGGTGACGAGTTCTTGGTCGTGCACAATGGCATCATCACAAACTATGAGGTTTGCAGGTTTTTTCCCCAGTATACTAGTTGATTTTGATCCTAGTTATCCTTACAGTTGTAGATGCACATGCATTGTGCATTATTGCCACTAGGATGACCTTGTGCTAGTGGACTATAAGAATTTATTAATTTTTGGGCGGGAGGGACTATAATAAGTTTAATCTCCCGGTCCGCCACATGGGTTGTCTCCTTATCTCATATACTACTGCTAAACAGCAAAAAGGATTTCCAAAAGAAAAAACAAACTAAACCGAGTTCAGTCGATTATTTAGTAACTGGAATTTCAAGTGCTGTTACTCCAGTTTAAATGGTTCTTTAAATATTTAGATCATATTACAATACGTAATATCATAATTCGCAAGAGGATAATTTGTTTATCACACATTTGTGGCTCGCAAGTATCTGAAACTTGTATGCATGATTATGATTAACCTTGTGAGATATCAAATTAATATTGCATGGATAACATGATGCAATGAGAATTTTTGTGTTCTATTCTAACTTGGTCTTTGTGATGTATCTATACAGGTTCTGAAAGAGACACTTACTCGGCATGGGTTCACCTTTGAGTCTGATACCGACACAGAAGTCATCCCTAAGCTAGCAAAGTTTGTTTTTGATAAGGCTCATGATGGAGAAGGTATATATGTGCTTTATGGTGTGATATTGTCGCTATAGTGAGAACTCGCATGATATACTGTGCTCTGTTAATTTTATTTAAGGTGACTTCTTTGTTCTTACACTTTATTGTTTCCACAGGTGATGTGACATTTAGCCAAGTTGTTAACGAAGTCATGAGGCAGCTTGAAGGCGCCTACGCCCTTATTTTTAAAAGTCCACACTACCCCAACGAACTGATCGCATGCAAACGAGGCAGCACACTGATACTTGGTGTCAACGTAAGCAAAAGAGTCCTTGTATCTTTTCTTGCTATTTGGTTGGTGCACCTCAAGAAGTTTTTAGTATGCTCAGATTTCTTTTCTTGCTCTTCAAGTTATATGAAATTATTCTTCTAATTTCGTATGCCTTTTGACGTGTGCGGTATTACTGACCCTAACATGTTAATACATACCTTGTCATCTCTGCATGCTTGTGGCCGCTTGCTTCCAAAAATATGAAATGCGGTAAAACTGCAAAGCGACAGCACAAAGCTTTACCCCTAACAAAATATAAAGCTTTGAAGCAGGATGTTAGTTCTACTTCTGCATACATATGATTGGTATATGCCTTTTTGTCGTATGTGTTTTATCGTGAAGGGGACTACTCACAAGTTACACATCAACTACTCGATGTAGTAAATTACATGGCTAGCTGACACGTGTTTCATTCCACTTAACCCCTGCACAGTATACTGGTTGCAGATTAGTTTCAATGCTTTTTGGAGAAGTCTGTCTGTTTAATAGTGAGGATAGTTTGGTAATAATTTTCGACGTGGCCTCTCTGCATTGCACCGTGCAGGGATAAGGCTTGCCTTGTATAATCCTTCCCCAGACCCCACCTGGTGTGGGAGCTTCTAGCACTGGGTCTGTCCTTTATAGTTTGGTAATAATTTCCTTTTCTCTGTCAATCACTATTGTGTTGCTATGCTTTCCATTTTTTGGTTAATATGAACATATAGATCTTGTAATTCCGCTAGAGTTGTAATTCCGCTTCTGTTGAGTTGAACTTTTATGTTGTACAAATTTTGACTCTCTTGTCTCTTGTGTTTTCAGGAATTGAGTGGTCAAAAGAGCGGGAAATCTTTCAATGATGTCAAAGCCCTGACAGCAAACGGAAAGCCAAAAGAGCTATTCTTCTCCAGTGATTTATGTGCTATAGTGGAGCATACCAAGAACTATTTAGCTATTGAAGATAATGAAATCGTTCATATCAAGGTACAGCTCAAGTGTTCTCTTGTTAGTATGCATCCCTACCCATAATTGTTCTTTTCCCTCCTTTTTGTTACAAATGCTGTTTTCTTGATTGGCGTGGTTTTGGGAATATACTTTTGGAAAATATTCACTATTCTTGCTTGCCTGCTACCATGCTCTAAGAAGAATGATTCACTACCTTAATCTTTGTCATTGTTGACCCTCCTTTTTCGGTGATTCCAAACTAAAAGCCGAAGGCGTACTATCAGCCGCATTTTGTTTCTTTCGTGAAGCTTGCACTTTATAGTTCATACCTGCTCATGTTCTAACAATTTACATATTGCAGGATGGCAGTGTGTCTATCCTTAAGTTTGACCATGACAAAGAGAAGCCAGCATCTGTGCAACGAGCATTATCTGTTCTTGAGATGGAAGTTGAGCAAATAAAGAAAGGAAACTATGACCACTTCATGCAAAAAGAAATCCATGAACAACCACATTCACTGACGACAACGATGAGGGGTAGACTAAAGGATGGTGCAGTTCTTTTGGGGGGACTGAAGGAACACCTCAAAACAATTAGACGCAGTAGAAGAGTAGTCTTTATTGGCTGTGGTACTAGTTACAATGCTGCGTTAGCTGCGAGAACTTTTGTGGAAGAACTAACAGGTGAGTCAGTTCAATTTGGTCTGCTGCATCGTCCTTATGTGGAAGCTTTAGAAATGAAAACACTAATGCAATGCTTATTTAGGTAGTGACCTTTTAACATGTCTTTCTATCCCTTGCATTACTTTTGCATTAGGTATTCCTGTGACAATGGAGGTTGCAAGTGACTTGCTGGACAGACAAGGTCCCATCTACAGAGAGGACACTGCGGTTTTTGTTAGCCAGTCAGGGGAGACAGCAGATACCCTTCTTGCTCTTGATTATGCACTGGAAAATGGAGCACTTTGTGTTGGCATAACAAATACTGTTGGAAGCACACTCTCAAGAAGAACACATTGTGGAATTCATATCAACGCTGGTTGTGAGATTGGTGTTGCTAGCACTAAGGTAAGCTTTTGTGCATTCTCCTCTTGCAGTAGTTTTCAGTTTTTTGGCATCTTGTTCCCTAACAGTCTTTGAAAATTGTGCAGGCATACACAAGTCAAATTGTAGTCATGGCAATGATGGCCTTGGCTATTGGATCTGACCAAATATCCACTCAAGCTAGAAGGGAAGCTATCATCAGTGGTCTTTTCAGTCTTCCAAGTATGTTTTTACTTGAATCAACCATGTACCATGCACTCTGTAGAAGTGCTATATTCCATTGACGTTTTCAAACATATGCAACATCACCATGCAGGCAATGCTAGTCAAGTTCTGAAACTTGACTCTGAAATGAAGGAACTTGCCTCTTCATTGATCGACTCGGAATCGCTCCTCGTGTTTGGAAGAGGTTATAACTATGCCACTGCCTTAGAGGGTGCTCTCAAAGTTAAGGAGGTTGCGCTGATGCATAGTGAAGGCATGTTTGCTGGTGAGATGAAGCACGGGCCTCTAGCCCTAGTGGATGAAAACCTCCCCATCATCGTCATTGCAACACGCGACGCATGCTTCAGGTAATCGCTTTGAACAGAGCTTCTCGATCAGTTTTTGTTTCAGACAGAAAATACCTAATACTGTTATTCTCCTTTTGCAGCAAGCAACAGTCCGTGATCCAGCAGCTCCTTTCTCGCAAGGGGCGTCTGATCATAATGTGTTCAAAGGGAGATGCCTCTGCTGTCAATCCCGGCGGATCTTGTAGAGTGATTGAAGTTCCAAAGGTTGCGGACTGTCTCCAGCCAGTGATTAACATAATACCATTACAGGTTAGCCCCAGCTTTCTTTTTTCTCTCGAATTTCGAATTCGATTTCTCACTGCAGTTTGCCCACTGAAGAATGTTGTGTTATCTCTGCTTCAGTTGCTCGCATACCATCTCACCGTTCTTCGTGGATTCGATGTTGACCAACCAAGGAATCTGGCGAAGAGCGTGACCACCCAGTAAGTAGAGGAAAAACATGCAGAGTCATAGCTCAGAAGTATTCAGGTATTTCTTCTAGAAAAGAAGAAAGAGTGCTGTAGCCGTGAATATCGTGATAGTGTATATTTGAGGAGGTTAGCATCGTCGGCAGCCTGTTGATCAGCTCGTTGTGAAAATGTATGAATGTTATTTGCGAAAAAGAAAGCAGGTTATCTTTCATGTATGCTTTGCTTGTCGTAAACCTAAGATGATGCATTGGCTCGCTGGAATTGCTCATGTTGTAATTACTGAAAGACCTTTGTTTGTTATTATTACTACCGTTGGAAACATATTGAGAAATTAATAAAAGAAGTCACAACCAAGGAAGTATACAGATACTCCCTCTGTAAACTTCTACTGTATAATAGAAGTGCAAAATAATAATAATTTATAAGGACCGATCTAGCGAGCGGCTGGCTGCTCGCTAGTCGTCCCGAGCGGCCGGTCCAAAACAGATAATTTTAGTCCCTAATCCATAAAAGGTAATAATTTGTTCCTTCCAATTGATAAAGCAATTCTATTTAGAAAAAGTATCACATACTGTACTACAAAATCAAACATGTAAACAGATATGAACGCATTTATTTTAGGTTTTCAAATTTTTAAAAAGTTATAACTTTTAGATCGCACTTCGGAATTAAGATCCCTTTTTACTATTGGAACCCTCGCGACGTGCTCTTCAAAAGTAGATCTCATATGGGGATGTTTCGACGAACTAGTCTTCCTGCCAACCAAATATCAATATGTATGCAACTAGAGTACATGTCGCGGCAACTAAGCATATGCGCGTGCCGATAGTCCTTCTGCCAACTAAACATCAATGTGTGTGCAACTAGACTACATTGCCGCGCTAACTGAGTATATGTGTGTGCCAATAGTCCTGCCAACTAAACATCAATGCATGTGCAACCAGACTACATTATCACGTAAACTGAGCATATATGTGTGTAACTAGTCCTGCAACTAAATATTAATTTGTGTGCAACTAGACTACATTGACACGTCAATTGCGCATATGTATGTGCAACTAGTGTCCTGCCAACTAAACATCAATACGTGTGCAACTAGACTAAATTACAAGCCAACTGAGCATATGCGTGTGCAACTAGTGTCCTGCCAACTAAACATCAATGTGTGTGCAACTAGACTACGTTACATGTCAACTAAGCATCAATGTGTGCAACTAGACTACATTATAAGCTATGACAATTCATATGCGACTATACGGATCAGATTGTGCAACTCTGTGGCCGTGCATGTGCCAAGTGGGACTACCATGTGTGCAATACAACTAATGTGGATGCAACTCCAAAAAATTGGGTTTAAAAAAAATTGCACCATGCAGTACTAAAGTTGCACAAAGCAGTACTAAAGTTGCACAATATAGCACGAAAGTTGACATCAAAAAAATTTCGTCGAAACATACTCATGCGAGATCTAGTTTCAAAGATCTCGTCATAAAGAATTCAACAGTGAAGACAGATTTGAATTCCGACGCGCAGTTTGAAAGATATGACTTTTTAAAAATTCGAAAAATCAAAATAATTGTACGGGAAGTTGTTTCTTTCAAATCAGACTAACTAATGTGAACTCATTAAATGCTGATAACGACATGCACTAGCAGACAAAAGAAAACAAATTCATGCATGGCTAGAAAGCCCGACCGCTCGTTCTCGTCAATTAGTGCGCGGCCACTTTTTAGATTTTAGGAATTTATGAATATAATAAAGTGGTCACCGGTTAGGCCATGTTTGGTTATATATAGTATATAGAGAAACCAAAGCCCCCGAGGGCCATGTTTGGTTATACCCACCCCTATCCGGATCGGGGCTGAAACCTGATCGAACCCAGCGGTTTTGCACTGCCTGGGGTGAAATCGAGGTGAGCTTGGTATCTCTCTCTTTGGTTAAAGAAAAAGTCCATTTTACTACCCTGAATAAAGTTGGTGGTTCACATTACCCCCTCATCTATTTTTTTGTTCCTTTCACCCCCTAAACAAACCCACACTGGACGAAAGACCCCCCTCGGTGGTTTGTCACCACTTGCTGCTGATGTGGCATTGGTCAATGGTGGTTTTGACCTGCGGGTGGGCCTCCCTTGTCAGGTGCAGCTGAGATTGACGGGTGGGGCCTAGAGGAGGCAGGCCCACCTGGCAGGTCTATCTCCTTCATCCGTCGCTCGCCCGCGGGACAGAGAGGAGCTCGGGCACTCGTCTCGGTGGCACAGGCCACCCCCGGCGGAGCTACGACCATCCGAGTGACCCCTATGATGCGACGCGTCCTCCCATCCGGTTCATGATGTCTGGGAACAACAGGGGCCACAGCGGGATCGGGCAGGGCGGTCGGCGGCGTCGGCAGATGATGGGCATGGCCGCATCAGCAGAGGCCAAGGGGGATGGGGAGATGGCTGGACGGCAGAGACGGTGGGGCATCGGAGCATGCCAGTGCACTGGTTGTCGTGTTCGACTGCAGCAGCGGGCGACGGAGCATGGACACGCAGGGAGAGGTCCTCGGGGGCGTGTGGCTCCAAATGGACTAGCCTGTCAGCTTTAGGGGAGCGCCATGGTGAATGGGAACCAGAAGAGGAGAATCAGGGGTCACTGGAGGATGAGATCAATGAGGCGGCGCTCGATGTCGGGGACGGGGAAGAAGACATGGCAAGGGCGATTTACAACGATTCAAACTAATTCCTTTGGCAAGAATGTGCACTGGATCAAGGTGAAGCTCTCAGACAAGGTTTCACATCGAGGAGGAGGCACTGGCCGCGCGGACAAATAACTACAGTAGGCGCCAGAGCTTGGCCATGCGGGAAGAGGTCCTTGGGGACGCGCTGCTCCAGATGGAGGGGATGATTAGCTTCAGGGGAGCGCGATGGTGCTCGGGAAGAAGAGGAGGAGAATCGGGGGTCACCGGACGAAGAGATCGAGGTGGCAGTGGTCAATGCCTGAGGCAAGGAAGAAGACATGGGTGACGGTGATTTGCGGCGACCCGAAGAAATTCATTTTCCAGGAATGTATAGCTGAGCGAGGTGAATCTCTTGGACAAGATTTCAACATGAGGACGAGGCGCTAGCCGCGCGGACGAAGAACGACAACACCATCGGCATGAACTGAGCGCCGGCTGCGCTCTTCACCTGACCACAAGGCCCCTTTGGTCAACAAACCACTTTGACAATGTCCACGTCAGCAAACCACCCGAGAAAATCCGCCCAAGATTATTTCTGAACGGTATTGGATAGATCAGGGGGTTAAGTGAACAAAAAAAAAAGTTCAAGGGGTTATGCGAACAACCCATTTTCTTCAAGGGAGTAAAATGGACTTTTTTCTTGGTTAAACCCACAGGGGTTCACACCCCGACCGATCCCTTTCAAAAGCGTCGGGTTTCACTGGGGAATCAATCCCCGCCTCTCCCCGCGTGGAATCAACCATTGCCCTTGCACCGAAAAAATGAGTTGTGCCTCTCTCCCATTCTCCTCTCGCGAACCCTAGGCGACAGCGGCCACAATGAAGGTGGCAGGGACAGAGGCACGACATTGGTGGGACCAAGAAGCGTCAGACTTTCGCGAGTGTGTCACCCTCGTCGACTAGTGCATGCCATCTGAGGCGAAGGCTCATCCGTGCTATATTTTGCAACTGGCTATGATTGTTGTGGCCATCCTCGATGAGATGTTCACCACCGGAGAGATGCTCGTTGGAATTCTGAAATACCCTATGGCTTAATTAGTACTTGATATCTAGTATTAAATCATATCATTCTGTAATATCATTGATGCACATGGATGTTATATGTTGGAAGTTGGAACCTGTAAGTTTTTAAGTATTGGCATGCGAACAATGCTTGGCGACTGTTGCTGCTGGTCCTTGTACTGTTGTGTTCTTCTATTCAATAATATAACAATTGTTCTGAACTTGTAAGTTTTCTGATCTTCCTTTTCAGTTCTGCAGCAATACAACAACACAACAGTACTTGAAAGCATTTTTATCTGATGTTCCTTTTTTGAAAAATAATACACACAACTTTATTCATTTGAAATAATAGTTATATCATTTATGAGAAAGGGTACAAGTTCAATTGGAGGCTCCTCAAGCAAATCATACGTCAAAGGAAATCTAGCCAACCTAGCGAGCTCATGAGCAACTTTATTTGCTTCCCTATTATAATGTTCAAACCTACAAATAGTAAAATCGCGAATAGAATGATAACAGTCGTCGAAAACCGCCGCCGCCCCCGAGGAATGACCACCCGTCTTCATAGTGTCAATGACCTCAAGATTGTCATAATTAATAACGAGTTCGTTGCATCCCATCCTTTGCGCAAGGGCAAGACCGAATCTGAGGGCCAAAGTTTCCGTCGTAGTAAGTTTTCTATGATGTTCCTTGTACAACAGAGCAGCACAATAGTAAGTTTTACAACGATGTTCTTTATATGACAAAGCAGCACAATAGTATTGTTTGTTCAATGGGCTGAAGGTTTAACCGAATGAATATTAGTAGCAGGGGAATGGAGGGAGAAGGGTTAGTGGGGATTGAATGACAGGAGGGGGTTCACCCAATCCCTCCAGGGATGGGATCCCCTATAGGTTTAAACCCCCTAGAACGGAACAAAGTCTAATGAAACTAATCCTCCCAGAAAGTAATTAGGTTGATCTCATACTTGTGAACCAATCCCCTGAACTTTGAAGTGGGTTTCATTCAACGGCTTCAGAGGAGTCCCCCCCCCCACCCACCCCATGAAACAGGGTGGATTTGGCCGGGACTTCCCCGTCCCGGCCTCAACCAAACACACACATCACTCACCCAAGTGGTGAGTTCACATGTCCTTCCATGGACAAGAGGGAGTAGACCTCAACTTTAAAAGGAGTGTCAATATTTATTTAGTCTGATGTAGGTGGGTCCATCTCTATTAACTATTTTAACTTTTATCTAGGATTCTAGGTGAATTGACTGGTAGTTAGACAAAGGTCAACATCTATAAAGGATCCCTAGTTGTGTTTTTATTTTTCTTTGATAGTTTCACAACCGTTTTGCACCCACAAATGAATGTGTTTTTTCTTCGTTCAGCGAATTATTCTTTTAAACGAGGGTATTCGTGCATGGATGGTAGCTCTAGAACAGCATCATGAAAATTTTATATTCCTTGAGGAGGTTCTACAACGTGGAAACACTCTTTAGTGAAACTTTTGTTTTAGCTGGCCGTGACTAACAGACCACTGGCTTTGCTTGGTTAGCCGGGAATGTTAGACTTATCGTTTTTGTCTGGTAAACCTACTTGGAGCTCACGTAGCCCATGCCGGAGTAATCATATTCTAGGCCAGAGCAATGAACCTATTTAAAGATTGGTGAATTAATGCATCTATAGGTAAAATCTCTCACTCTTGCGAATCACGAGGTATCCTGCTTTACTTGTTCTCACTCACTCGTTTACACCTCTTCCGACTGTAATTCAGACTATAAAAGCAAAAGAAAACCCTGAGATTTCTCTTCTTAGAGAATTGTACATGGGCAACCGCCCCCATCGCCGTGTGAGTGATCCGACCCACCGTGATCGCCAGCTCCATGTTCCTCCGCATTTGCTCGCCGTCTGCATATGCAAATGAACCGTGTACGCCGTTAGACCGAGCTTACAATTAAATTTCATTATTTCGTTTCACTCAGTTGGATTTCGTTGCACCACAACGGGCCCATATCGACTAGAAAATATTTGGTTGTAAGTCGACTATCATGACATTCCTTATCCAACAGAAATCAGATAATTGCGTATTCAGAAATAATGTGCAAATTTAAGCGTGGTAATATACAACCAAGCACACCCAAAGTTGCAAACAATGTTTTTGTGCAACTCTAGGTTTCATGATGGGCAACTTGATAACCTTCGGTCAAATGATGCTTTTGAACTTCGGTCTACCGCACATGGATGCTGCTTTTATGTTTGTTGTTCCATTACTGGTTGATAGGAGAACCCGATCCTCTCAAGGATCGCATGGGGAAAAAACTGACGTGCAACTTGATCTACCTAGAACCTTTTTTGCGAAAATGATCTACTTAGAATCTGACAATTAACTGGGAAATATCAAATCCAACATTATTCAACAATGCAACAATCTACTTAGGCCCTATTTGGTTCACCTTTTATCGACGGATTTCGCTGCCGCGCAGCAGAAAACCAAAGGGTGAATCCAGCAAAATCCGATTTCAGAAATCCGCTGCCAAAATCTGAACCAAAAGCGGAAGCAGCCCAGGACGTGCTTTTCAAAATCTGATTCTGCTGCGGGCCAAAATCTAAAAAAATTGTATCAGCTAGTTTTTCAAATGACCTACATCTTTTCCACATTAGTTTTTTCACAGCTATTTTTCCACAGCAGATTTTAGAAATCCACAGCTGAACCAAACAGGGCCTTAGAACCTTTTTTTTTCGAAAATGATCTACTTAGAACCTTTTTTTAGCTTGATCAGTAGGAGAAATTCAACAATGCAATCCTAGAGTGCTGATATGATCTCGAGAAGAATGGAATGGAATGGAATGTTGGTCAGCAGGCAGCAGGGTCGATTGGGTGGACATTGGAGGAGCAGTACTCACTTTGCCATCATGACCTTGGCGAACTCCTTGTAGTTAATCTGCCCGTCGCCGTCGGCGTCGGCCTCCTGGAGCATCTCGTTGAGCTCGTCCTCGGAGAGCTTCTCGCCGAGGTTCTTCATGACGGTGCGGAGCTCGTCGAGGGAGATGAAGCCATTGTTGTCCTTGTCGAAGACGCGGAAGGCCTCGTGGAGCTCCTCCTCGGCTTCGGCGTCCCCGCGCATCTGCCGCGCCACCAGCCCCAGGAACTCGTTGAAGTCGATGGTGCCGCTGCCGTCGGCGTCCACCTCCTCCACCATGTCCTTGAGCTCATCCTCCGTCGGGTGCTGCCCCAGCGACCGCATCACCGTCCCCAGCTCCTTGGTCGTGATCGTCCCTGCGCCCGCCCAAATCACCCGCCGTCGCAAAAATCAAAATCAATCCACAGCGCGCGCGAATCGATTGGTCGAATCGGATCAGGAGGAGGATTGAATTGATTGATTGATGGCACGTACCATCGCCGTCTTTGTCGAAGAGCTTGAAGGCCTCCCGGAACTCCTGGATCTGCTCCTGGGAAAGCTCGTCCATTTTGCTCCCGTCTTCCGCCGGAGCCCGAGAAGACGGCCGGTGATCGATGGGGACGACGATCGGAAGGATTCAGCGGCTGATTATTCTTCTCGTGTTGCCGCCAAATCCATCATTATTCCCCTCCCTTGGGCTGATCGTCTGGATGTCGTCTTGTTCGTCGCGTTGGCTAAAATAAGTAAGGAGAAGGCGGGAGGGGGGAGCCCGCCATTTATACGTACCTACATGGAACTTACGCTGTGGCCAACAGAAAACAATGAACAGCTAAAGTGCTCTTGTGAGCTTGAGCTGGCATGCACCCTTTGCTATAATAAATTTTTAAACAATTACTTAATGAATTTTAAAAAATCATTTTTTGGCGACATGTGGAACAAACATAAATATCATTTCATCGCGAAACTTCGCATGCATGTGAAACACACATCAATATTTGTTAAAGAAACAGATTTTTATTTTTTTTGTATTTTTTGGATTTTACTAGCAAAGGATGCATGTGAGCTCAAGCTCACAAACTCCATGTCCGAAGAGACAACTGTGACAGCTAGTACTCCCTTCGTTCTGAACTATAATATATTTTAACCTTTTTTGAATCAGATGTATGTATACATGTTTTATTTTATTTGTTCATTAATTTCAGTCCGTATTTATCGATATTGAAATATGTAAAACATCTTATAATTCAGAATATAGATGATAGTAAATTATTGTTCTATTTAGAAGAGAGAAAAAACTAGCTGAGGGGAGACAGATCTGTGCTGTCACATTTATCACATTTTGTTACCAGAAACGAATACCCAAATAAATTATCGAAAACGAATACCCAAATAAATTATCAAAAACAAATACAAAATATATGCGCCGAAATACAAGTCCCTTGAATTATGTGCAAAATAACACAGCAAAACCAACAAATTAGTTCAATTTACTATGACGGCTGTAAATAGTCGTAAATCCGCATCTGAGCCCGGGCTCAAATGCTCCCGCTCAGAAAAAAATTCAAAACAAAAATTAGAAAAATTCAAAAAAAAATTGACTTTTTTTGTGTGGTAGATAATTTGATGTGTGATGTCCGCTCCAAATTTTAACTCATTTGAATATCTGAGCAGCTCTCGGCAAAAAAGATAAATCGGGTCAAAAGAGTTCCTGAACAATGAACTTTTTTATAGACCCCGACTTTGTCTTTTTTACAGAGAGCTGCTCAAATGTCTAAACGAGTTGAAATTTGCAGTGAACCTCACGCATCAAATTATTTACCACACAAAAGAATTGGATTTTTTCAATTTTCTAGCATTTGTTTTGATTTTTTCCATCAGAGCGGGTGCAGCTGAGCACGGGAGCCAAATTGACCTTCTCAATATCATATATTAATGTATATAATATAACATCACCTTCTCAAAACATATAATATATTACCAAACGGGTGATTAGGTGAACAAATGGGCTTGAGAACATTTAGGGCGTGTTTGGTTGAAGTCCTTAGACACATCGGCCTGGCCCGAGACATGCCTGAAACGTGCTTGGTCCTTGTTGATTCACAACCTGGAATCTCGGAGATGTTCCTGGCTTGGAGGTCACATGCATCTTGATTAGCCTGGCTAGTTGCCAGGCATTTTGCTTAGCCTGGCCAGGCCGATGGAATCGGATGCTTGGCTTCCAGGCATATGCGATTTTCAGCAACTTCATTACATGCATGTTGCACGTCCTGTCAAATTAGACTGCCAACCTGTTTTTTTAGTCTTAAAGTGTTGGATCTTTTACATCTTTGTTCTTAATTCAAACCCACTATTCATATTTGCCTTTAATTTCGAAGCACGCTCAAATTTACCCCTCTGTCATCAAGTCACCTTATAGAAATACCTTTCTGTACCGTTACCTGATACGTCTCCAACGTATCTATAATTTTTGATTGTTTCATGTTGTTACATTATCAATCTTGGATGCTTTATAATCACTTTATAGTCATTTTATATCATTTTTAGTACTAACCTATTGATATAGTGCCAAGTGTCAGTTGCTGTTTTTTACATGTTTTTCATAGCAAGTAATCAATATCAAACGGGGTCCAAACGCAGCGAAACTTTTTGTGAACTTTTTTAGACCAGAAGACACCTAATGGGCCGGAGAAGCGCCTGGGGAGGTGCTTCGAGGGGAGTACAACCCACCAGAGCGCACCTGGGGGCCCAGGCGCGCCCTGGTGGGTTGTGCCCACCTCGGCTGCCTCTAGGACCGTCTCTTTGCTCTATAAATACCCCAATATTTCAGAAACTCTAGGGGAGTCGACGAAAATCAATTCCAGCCGCCGCATAGTCCAGAACCACCAGATCCAATCTAGACACCATCGCGGAGGGGTTCACCACTTCCATTGGTGCCTCTCCGATGATGCGTGAGTAGTTCTTTGTAGACCTTCGGGTCCGTAGTTAGTAGCTAGATGGCTTCCTCTTTCTCGTTTGATTCTCAATACAATGGTCTCTTGGAGATCCATATGATGTAATTCTTTTGTGGTGTGTTTGCTGGGATCCGATGAACTTTGAGTTTATGATCAGGTCTATCTCTTTTTATCCATGAAAGTTATTTCAGTTTCTTTGATATCTTATATGTATGATTGCTTATAGCCTCGTATTTCTTCTTCGATATTTGGGTTTTATTTGGCCAACTTGTGTTGGGGAACGTAGTAATTTCAAAAAATTTCCTACGCACACGCAAGATCATGGTGATGCATAGCAACAAGAGGGGAGACTATGATCTACGTACCCTTGTAGATCGACAACGGAAGCGTTAACTTGGTTGATGTAGTCGTACGTCTTCACGGCCCGACCGATCAAGCACCGGAACTACGGCACCTCCGAGTTCTAGCACACGTTCAGCTCGATGACGATCCCCGGACTCCGATCCAGCAAAGTGTCGGGGAAGAGTTCCGTCAGCACGACGGCGTGGTGACGATCTTGATGTACTACCGTCACAGGGCTTCGCCTAAGCACCGCTACAATATTACCGAGGACTATGGTGGAAGGGGGCACCGCACACGGCTAAGAATATGATCACGTGGATCAACTTGTGTGTCTATTGGTGCCCCCTGCCTCCGTATATAAAGGATCCAAGGGGGGGTGCGGCCGGCCCTAGTAGGAGGCGCGCAGGAGGAGTCCTACTCCTACCGGGAGTAGGACTCCCCTCCCTTTCCTTGTCCAAGTA